CCCATTACTAATTAAAAATCTATCGCCTCCTTAAATTTACTCACTGTCCCAGTATCAATTGCATTCTGGGTTTGAGAATTTCACAGATTCACGACCCTTTGAGAGAAGTAATTTCTTCTCATTTCTGTTTTAAATCCTCTATCCCTTAGCCTAAAACTACGACCTATCGCCCTAGATTGCCCCACAAGAGGAAACAACCTTTCTACATCTGCTATTTCAATCCCCTTCAGCATGTTATGTACTTGAATTGAAACTCCTCTCATTCTTCTAAACTCTCGATCTCTCTTCATAAGACAAACCTCTCATCTCTACAATCAAACCAGTGTATCTTCTCAGAAATGCCTCCTGGCAAAACTCAACAGAGGCCAGCATCCCGTCACCAAGTCACATGTGGGGGAGTCCTTGACACTGATCCAGCTTCCTCAGAGCCAGCTCTCAGAGTGAATAGGATGTCTGACACTCTTGTTCCTTTGTGCCAGCCAGAGCTCCCTGATTGGACCAAATTAACGGTGGGGGAAGGGGGGAGAGGATCCAGTTGCATGGGGAATTAGAAAATCAAAAGTAAATGAGAAGGCAAGATGACAGGTTAGTGATAGGCTGATTATTACCAGAAAATAAAAGGAAGGGACGGCATGTGTGAATGTCATATTGTATGAAGGAACCATAAAAGTGTAGGGAAATGCAAGAACAGAATATACTGAAGGCTTTATATCTTAATGCATGAAGCTTTCGGAACAAAGTAGATGAAGTGATGATGCAAATTGAGGTGAATGGATATGATTGTTTTAAATTCACTCACCAGATGTAGGCATCTTTGGCTAGGCCAGCATTTATTGCCCGGGCCTAATTGCCCAGAAGGCAGTTAAAAGTCAACCACATTGCTGTGGGTCTGGAGTCACATGTAGACCAGACCCGCTGAGGATGGCAGATTTCCTTCCCTCAAGGACATTAGTGAACCAGGTGAGTTTTTTGATGGTTTCATGGTCTTCATTCGACCTTAACAATGATCTCATAGACAGTTACAAGGAGATCAAGGAGATCAAAACTGGAAACTTAACATTCAGGGATATTTAGCCTTTCAGAGAGACAGGAAGGATGGAAGGATGATAGCACTATTGATAACAGATGAAATGAGAACAGTTATGAAAGATGATGTAGGCTCAGATGATGTAGAGTCCATTTGAACAGAGGTAAAAAGTAGCAAATGGAAGAAGACACGGTGGAAGTAATGTGCAGACCCCCAACAGTAGCCATGCTGTAGGAAAGGCCAAAAATCAACAAATAATAGGAGTGCTTTAAAAAGAAGAGAGTAAAAATTTTGTCAGTTTAATTTTCATTTTGATTAGGTTAATCAAATTAGAAAGGTTGGCTATGACAACAAATTCTTAGAGTACATTAGGGATAGTTTCCTACAACAATATGTCATGAAACCAACCAACCAGGGAGCAGGCTATCTTGGATCTGCTAATAAGTAATGAGGCAGGTATAACAAATGACTTCAGGGTAAAAGATTCCCTAAGAAGTAGTGATCATAACATGATAGAATTTAACATTCAGTTTGTGAGTGAGAAATCTGGGTCAGAAACAACTGTGTTTGACTCAAATAAAGGAAATTATAATGAAATTAGGCTACAGTTAGCTAAAGTGAACTGGGCAGTTAGATTAGCAGGAATGACAATAAGAAGTGGCCGGCATGCAAGGAGGTAATTCATGATTCTCAGAAAAGCACATCTCCATATGGTGGAAAGATTCTAAATAGCCATGCCTAACCAAGGAAGTTAACAAGAGTATTAAATTGAAAGATTAAGCATATAAAGAGGCCAAAGTCAGTGATAGCCCTGAAGACTGGGATAAATTCAGAATCCAGCAAAAAAGGACTATAAAGATAATTCAAAAACTGACAATAAGAGCCTCTAAATACAGAAAAAGGAAAAACAAGGGCCCTTAGAAAATGTATCTGGGGAGATGGATATGAGGAACAAGGAAATGACAGATGAGTTAAACTGAAATTTTACATCAGTCTTCGTGGTAGAGGAAACTTCAAACATCCTAACAATACTAAAGAATACAGGGGAGAAAGTAAATACCATCACCATCATTAAAGAAGCAGTATTTAGACAAATTAATCAGTCTACAGGCAGATAAGTCCCTTGTTCCTGATGGCTTGCATTCTAGGATGATAAAAAGCTAACTGCAGAGATAATGGATGCATTGGTTGTAACTTTCCAAAATCCTCAGATTCTGGAGAAGAACCAGACGATTGGAAGACTGCAAATATGACACTCCTAATCAAACAGGGAGGGAGGCAAAAAGCCGGTAATTGTAGGCCAATTCGCCTAACATCGATTCTTGGAGAAGTATTGGAATCAATATTCATGTAAGTAATACCGGAAGATTTAGAAGATCATAATCAGGAAGGCAAATGCAATGTTGACATTATTTTGACAGGACTTGAGTATAAAAGCAGGGACGTACTACTGAGGCTTTATAAGGCTCTGGTCAGGCCACATTTAGAGTATTGTGTGCAATTTTGGGCCCCATATCTCAGGAAGGATATACTGGCACTGGAGCGGATTCAGAGGTGGTTCACAAGAATGGTCCCAGGAATGGAAAGCTTAACATATGAGGAATGTTTGAGGACTCTGGGACTATACTCATTGGAGTTTAGAAGGATGAGGGGGGATCTAATTGAAACTTACAAAATACTGAATGGCCTGGACAGAGAGGATGTTGGGAAGATGCTTCCATTGGTAGGACAGACTTGGAACCAATGGCACAGCCTTAGAGTGAAGGCCTTTTAGAATGGAAATAAGGAGAAACTTCTTCAGCCAGGGAGTGGTGAATCTATGGAATTCACTGCCACAGTGGTCATGTCATCAAGTACATTTAAGACTGAGATAGATAGGTTCTTGATTATCAAGGGGATCAAGGGTTACAGGGAGAAAGCGGGAGAATGGGGTTGAGGAACTTATCAGCCACGATTGAATGGCGGAGCAGACTTGATGAGCCAAATAGCCTGATTTCTGCTCCTATGTCTTATGGTCGAATCAAACAGTCAGGATGGCTTCACAAAAGGGAAGTTGTTCTGATGAACTATTTTTATTAATATTTATTTATGACATTTGTTTGAGCTTTTTGAGGAAGTCTCAACCAAAGTGGATAGGGGAACCAATAGATGTCATGTATTGGAGTTCCAGAAGGCCAATAAGTCCAGACAAAGGTACCTCACAAAAGGTTAAGCCATAAGACAAGAGCCACGGTGTTAGAGGTAGTAATTAGCATAGACAGCGAATTGGCTGATGGGCAGGAAATAGCAAGTGGGAATAAGGGGTTCTTTTCCAGGCTGGCAATCTGTAATGAATGGGGTTCCACAGGGATCAGTGCTGGACCACAACTATTTACAACATATATTAATGACTTGGAGGAAGGAAGCGAATGTACTGTTGCCAAATTTTCAGACAACACAAAAATAAGCAGAAAGGCAGGTTATAAAAGAGATACAAATCGTTTACAAAGAGATTATGTTAAATAAATAGTCAGAAAATTGGCAAATGGAGTGTTATGTGAGAAAATGTGAAGTTATTCAGTTTGGAAGAACATAGTATTATTTAAACGAATAAAAATTATAGAAAGCTACAACACAAAGGAAATTGGGGTTACTTGTACATGAAACACTGAAAGTTAGAACACATGTAATCGTGAAGGCTAATGGAAGGATAGTCCGTATTTCCAAGGAGTTTGGGTATATGAGCAGGGAAGTCTTACTGCAAAATGTACAGCATGCTGGTGAAACCACATCTGGAATACTATGAGCAGTTTTGGTCCCCTTATTTAAGGAAAGATACAATTTCATTGGAGCCAGTTCAAAGAAGGTTCACTAGCAAGATCCCTTGAATAGAGGGATTGTCTTATGAGCAAAGACTAAACAGGTTGGCACTCTACTCATGGGAATTTAGAAGAATGAGAGGTGATTTCATTGAAACATATTGGATTCTTAAGGTGCTTAACAGCTTAAATGCTGAAAGGATGTTTCCCCCCATGTCTAGGACCAGAGGACATAGTCTCAGAATAAAGGGGCACCAATTTATGATTGAAATGAGGACGTATTTATTCTCAGAGAGTAACGAGTCTTTGGAACTTCTTGGCGCAGACAGCTGTGAGGACAGAGTCCTTGTGTATAATTAAAGCTGAAATAGATTGATTCTTGATCAGTAGGGGAATCAAGGGTAATGGGGTAAACACACAGAAGTGGGTGAGAAATATTGGATCAGCCATGATCCTATTAAATGGCAGAGCAGAGTCAAAAGGTTAAACAGCCTACTCCAGTTCTTATTTCTCATGGTCTTACAATGCCTCTCCATGCACCTGCAATGTGCTCATATGTCTTCCTCACCTTGAATCTACTATATACATGACATGAGTGAAAATAACTCTGGGAAATAATTTTCTTTTATTTCCTGAGCATTTAAATGAGTCACTCAAAACTTCATAAGGAACCCCACTCAGAAACTCATTAAATTGTTCAACACATGGTCATTGAAATTTCCCCAACATTCATGGCCAAAAAGTGTTCATTAACCTGTCAAAATAAACAAAGTCTTCAAAAACATCTTCTAAACATTTAATTCAAATCTGTTGGGAATTGGTAACTAAGTTCAAAACTGTGGCTCCAAATGGCTTCACTTTAGGCATTGTGTGCGAGTTCACCAAATGCCAGGAGGGAAAACATCAGCCCATAGCCTCTACTATTCTCTTGGCATGATGGAGCAGGCTGGTTCTGCAAGTGTAGATGATGGGCTCTGAATTAGTTCCAATGCAGTTGTATAGATCCAGGTACAGCAGATAAACTGCAATTCTGGGATGACTCAAAGGTAGTTTGGCATCACTATTCTTAGGCAGTCCCTCAGAATAGGAGGTAGTATCATTAATCCAATAGGCAAAACTAAAAATATCTTAATGTTGTTAAACCTACTGAGTGCCTGCTTCCATTGTATGCTTACCCTGCAATATTCATCAATAGGTTTCAGTCTCTTCATGGCCACATCCCTGACATGGCTTCTTCTGAACAGGATTTTGCCTGAAATTCAAACCAAATGAGTGACATTTATGTCAACCAATAAACTCAAAAACACATAATAGGCAAAAGCCTGAAACCATATTACTTAAAGTTTTCAAACTCTAGTAACTCAAGTCTATAATGACTTTGGAATACAAATTCCTGTAAATTTTAAGCTAATATTATAACAAATTGATAAGTAATAAAAATTAGTAACAAATTAACAAATCTTCAGACTCCATAACTTAAAGTAGAAGTTTCCCCTCCTTACCCAAACCCCAGCTCCACTATCACTAGAAGGCTTACCAAGTTGACTCTATATTGAGGCCTAACAATTTAAGACTGCTCTCCCTTACCCATTCTCACTATGTTAGCATGTTTTGCAGAACATTTGGCTGAAGGATTGCATAAACATGTGTTTCATCATTATGGTTCAGAAATGATTGAAATATAGGGGGTGATATTTGCAAGCCTCCAATCAGCACAAATCATTTAGGGAATTTTAGAAGGTGATTATTAATGCATTGACTATCTCAATTGCTGCCTCCTTCAACACTCTGGGATTTCTCTTTTTATTCATTCATGAGTTGTGGGCATCATTTTAGTCTGTTCGAAATGGCCTGTTGAGTTCCTTGGTAGGGCCATTTCAGAGGACAGTTAAGAGTCAACCGCATTCTTGTGGGTCTGGAGTCATGTGTAAGCCAGACTAGGAGAGGATGGTAGATTTCCTTCTCTAAAGTCATTAGTGAAACAGATTTTTTTGACTTTTTTATACATGACTTATATTGATTTCATTGCTTAAATATAGTGATGCCTAATCTTCAACCAATTTGACCCTCATGCCTGCAGAATTTCCCTATTCAAATTTAACATCATTGCTTCAGAACATACTACCTCACTTCCAAACATGATATAAAATTCTTCCATATTGTGAAGAGAGATTGGGCAAACTGGACTGGTATTCTTTAGAGTTTCAAAGAATGAGAGACGACCTAATTGAAATTGACAAAATTCTTGAAGGGGTCAACAGGGTAGATGCAGGTGAGATGTTTCCCCTGGTTGGGAGGCCTAGAATCAGGAGGTGTGATTTAAAAATAAGGCAGATGCAATTTAAGTTCGAGATGAGGAGAAAGTTTTTTACTCAGAGGGTCGTGAACCATTCAAACTCCCTGCCACAGAGAGCTGTGCATGGTTCATCTCTGAGTACATTTAGAGTAGAGATTGATAAATTTCTGATTACCAGTGGCATATAAGGTGATGGAGATGAGTAAAATGCATTGAAGTGTTCAATCAGCCACGATCAGATTAAATGGCAGGTTTGACATGCTGAATAGTCTACTACCGCTCCTATATTCCTTACAACACTGTGGGTATCCTTACACCTCAAAGCTTGCAGTTGTACAAGAAGACTGGTCACCACCTTTTCTGGGACAATTAGAGATGGACAATAAATGCTGGGCTACATCCCATGAATGAAAGTTTTTTAAAAACTGTCACACGTGCTCCTGATGGATTCAGTAGAATTGCCTCAGAAGATACTAACAGTGCACCACAAGACCCAGTTCAAATTTATAGAAGCCACATTGTAATTGGAACTTTCAAGGCTTTTGAGCAGTATTTAATAGCTGACTTCTGGCTAGAAAATTAAAACCCTCAGCGAAATGAGGCTTGCAACTTCCTGCACCCTAAACATTAGGGAAGTAAAATTCCATTTTCATAGCAGTCCTTCAATTCCACCAAAGGATTTTCATCTTGTGTAAAAGACCAGCTACAACAGAATATGGAAAATATTCAAAGATAGCTCAGTGCAAGATACACACACACTTAAATAACATTCATGAAATATACAGTCATAGAGTCAGAGATGTACAGCATGGAAACAGACCCTTCAGTCCAATTTGCCCATGCCGACTAGATATCCTAAATTAATCCAGTCCCATTTGCCACCATTTGGCGCATATCCCTCTAAAAGCTTCCTATTCATATATCCATTAAGATGTCTCTTAAATGTTGTAATTTTACCAGCCTCCGCCACTTCCTCTGGCAGTTCATTCCATGCATGCACCACCCTCTATATGGAAAAAGTTGCCCCTTAGGTCCCTTGTAAATCTTTCCCCTCTCACCTTAAACCTATGTCCTTGACGTTTTGGACCCCCTACCATCCGGTTTTCCAGTATTCTAAACTTATTCACAATTTAACACAGATTATTGCAATTATGCAGCAATAACTGGCAGTGAGGCAACCACCAACCAAGTAAAGTTACTGCATCTCCATCAAGAGACAAGTATGGCTGAAGCTGATTAATACTGTTTTATACAACAAATTATTACTGTGACATTGTTTTAAAAAATCCAAAAGCTGCTCAATGATTCAAATGAGACTGAAAACTACATGGGGAATTCATTAGAATAAGATCTCAAAATTGTCCTAACCTTAAATTCAAGACAGAATCAGACAACATGCTCAAAGAAATCAATATTATTCTGACTGATTACGAAATTAGCATAAAAGAGCTTTGGAAAATTACGTTTTATTCACGGGTTACGAAAGTAACCTGATTGTAGTCAATAGGAATTATTAATTCAGGTCAGCTAAAATTATTTGATGCGAGTTCAGATTCCATAAGCAGAACAACTAAATTAAAGGCACTTTAAGGAATTCAAAAATAGAACATTCTGCTGTGGTGTGTTGATTCACCAGCTTCAGAATATTGAAGTAATCAACAAGAGAATCACAGGGTTTGAAAATGAACCAAGGGAATATTTCAGACCACAGTCAAAAATAAACCACTTGTCTCCTCCCCCATCCATGATGGGGAGCACAGAAGTGTAAAAGGAACTGACAGAAGCTGGAAGATTCAAAGAAACCACAGGCATCCATGCAGTCAGATGTTTTCTTTATTTATTCAGTTATGGGATGTGGGCGTCGCTGGCTGGCCAGCATTTCTTGCCTGTCCCTAGTTGCCCTTGAGAAGGTGGTTATGAGCTGCCTCTTTTTTTTAAAAATAGAATCTCTGCAGTGTGGAAACAGGTCATTCAGCCTAACAAGTTCACACTGACTCTCCAAAGTTCATCCAAACCAGACTCACCCCCAATCCTATCCCTGTAACCCTGCATTTCCCATGGCTATTCCACCTAACCTATGCATCCCTGGGCACTACAGGCAATCTGGCATGACCAGTCAACCTAACCTGCACATCTTTGGATTGTGGGAGGAAACTGGAGCACCCAGAGGAAACCCACACAGGGAGAACATGCAAACTCCACACAGACAGTTGCTCAAGGCTGGAATTGAACCCAGGTCTCTAGCGCTGTGAAGCAGCAATGCTAGCCACCGTGTTGTGCCATGCCTTCTTGAACTGCTGCAATCCACCTGCTGTAGATTAACCCACAAAGCCATTAGGGAAGGTATTCCAGGATTTTGACCTAGTGACAGTGAAGGAATGGCAATATATTTCCAAGTCAAGACGGTGAGTGGCTTGGAGGTGGTGGTGTTCCCATACATCTGCTGCCCTTGTCCTTCTAGACAAAAGTGGTTGTGGGGTTTGGAAGGTGCCGTCTGAGAAACTTTGATGAATTTCTACAGTACAACTTGTAGACAGTACACGCTACGTCTACTGAGCATCAGTGGTGGAGGGAGTGGATGTTTGTGGATTTAGTGCCAATCAAGCGGGCTGTTTTGTCCTGGATGTTGTCAAGCTTCTTGAGTATTTTTGAAGCTACACTCATCCAGGCAAATGGGGAGTATTCCATCACATTCTTGACTTATGCCTTGTAAATGGTGAACAAGCTTTGGGGAGTTAGGAAGTGTGTTACTCGCCGCAGTATTCCCAGCCTCTGACCTGCTCTTGTAGCCAGTGTGTTTATGTGGTGAGTCCAGGGGAGTTTCTCGTCAATGATAATCTCCTGGATGTCGATTGTGGGGATTCAGTGATGGTAACACCATTGAATGTCAAATGGGCAGAGATTAGATTGTCTCTTATTGGTGATGGTCATAGCCTGGCATTTATGTGGCACAAATTTTACTTGCTACTTATCAGCCCAAGCCTGGATATTGTCCAGATCTTGTTGCATTTGGACATGGACTGCTTCAGTAGCCGTGGTGTCGTGAACGGCACTGAACATTGTGCAATTATTGGCGAACATCCCCACTTCTGACTCATGATGGAGGGAAGATCATTGATGAAGCAGCTGAGGATGGTTGGACCTAGGACACCACCTGAGGAATTCCTGCAGAGATATCCTGGAGCTGAGATGACTGACCTCCAACAATCACAACCATCTTCCTATGTGTCAGGTATGACTCCAATCACCAAAGAGTTTGGCCCTGGACTCCCACTGATTCCAGTTTTGCCAGGGTCCCTTGATACCAGACTTGGTTGAATACAGTCTTGATGTCAAGGGCTGTCACTCTTACCTTACCTCTGGATTTCAGCTCTTTTGTCTATGTTTAAACCAAGGCTGTAATGAGGTCAGGAGCTCTGTGGACCTGGCAGAGCCCAAACTGGGTGTCACTGAGCAGGTTATTACTGAGCAGGTGCAGCTTGAGAGCACTGTTGATCACACCATCCATCACTTTACTGATGATGGAGACTAGGCTGACTGGTCAGTAATTGGCCAGGTTGGATTTGTCCTGCTTTTTATATACAGGACATACTTGGGCAATTTCCACATAGTCGGGTAGATGCCAGTGTCGTAACAGTACTGGAACAGCTTGGCTTGGAGAGTGACAAGTGCTGTCATACAAGTCTTCAGTACTATTGCCGAAATGTTATCAGGAAACATAGAACATAGAACATAGAACATAGAACATAACAGCGCAGTACAGGCCCTTCGGCCCTTGATGTTGTGCCGACCTGTGAAACCAATCTGAAGCCCATCCAACCTAAACTATTCCATTATCATCCATATGTTTATCCAATGACCATTTAAATGCCCTTAAAGTTGGCGAGTCTACTACTTTTGCAGGCAGGGCATTCCACGCCCTTACTACTCTCCGAGTAAAGAACCTAGACTTTGCA